CCGGTCGAGGATACGATACGCGTTGCGTCCCACATCAACAATGATGGATTGCTGCAATGCGAGAAAATGACTGAATGACTAACGACGACAGCGGCGGCGAAGACGACGACGACGACGACGACGACGACCGGTGCCTCGGGCTGGTGCGTGTTGCCGGATTCTTGTTTCCGTCTCATCCCACCCGCTCCCCTCTCTCCCAGGCAGCGCTCCTGTCGCGGGCGGTAACAGCGTGAGTGCTCGCACTCATCATCACACCGGATTTATCGCCGCCGGCAGCAACAATCATCGGACAACACAGGTCTCGACAAGGCGTGCATGTGCCACGCTGCACTCCGAACACATTTACTTCTTTCATCCAAAGCAAGAAGCAGCTGCTACCATGACAGTGCGCAGTAACGAGGATCTCTCAGTATGCTTTCCCTGCTTGCACTTGTTTCGGCTGCTAGCTGGTGCAGCTTTGAAGGCAGCGCCCTAAAATTACAAAAAGAAAAAAAAAAAACTCCTAACTGCATGTTTAAAAAGTAAGCTAGTTTACTTTATCGGTTCCGACAATGCATGCTAGGGGCATCTTCGCTTGAGAGAAATCACAGAATTAGCGATAAAAAAGTTTCCGTGGATCGTGCGATCAGGGAAATTTATTACAGTTTAACTGTTTGTAGGAATTAGTACAGTAATCAGGAGCAGGAGCAAAGAAGCAAGAGAGGATGTGAGCTGGAAAGGAGAAAGGGAGGAGATGAAATTTATTATATAAAAGAAGTGCCTTATAAACTTTTGTACTGTTCCGAAAATTAGTGACATTTTGTATTTTTTAGATGTTTTACATTTTCCCGAACGTCTTGCTAGAAACTTGTTACTACTGAAGCATTAATTACATGTATGTTTTGGTGTGCTCTCCAGTATGTCTGACAGTATGTTCTTTCAAAAATTGCGACAGCGCTCTTCAGCCTTAGCGGGATTTTTCAAAATAGTCCCCTTTCCCTTGTCTCAAGAAAATCCTGGTTATGCCACAAATGGAAGTAATGCATGAATATGGAAGTAACGCATGAGTTTAGCCATTTTATAACTTGGTCGAGTTCGTCGTCTACAAAATTAGGCTGTTGGGCCGTCTTTTCAGCTTTATTTAACACTGTTGTGCTTTTTATCGATAAAAGTGCGCCAGTTTAGGCTTATAGTTTCAAGCTGATGAGAACAGGAAGCAATAAGTGCCTTTCATTGCCCACGTTATGTTCCAGAACAGAACAGAAGGAAACAAAGCGCATATGAGGAAGGAGGTGGAGTGGAACGGAATCTAGTTGATCCGTGAAGAGTACCACTTAGCGCTGTTACTTAAGGGAACAAATTGCCACAATGGGTTGTGCATCTGGTTTTGAAGAGCGTGCATACATTTTGCTCATTTCCTCTTCTTCTTTCGTTTTCGCATGCCTACAAATTCAAAATTGTTTTACCGGTACCCCTACCCGTTCTCTACATCACAGCAATTTGTTCATCAAACAGTCAACTTGGGATCGTTCCTGGTTCACAGTTTTTTCTGCTGAACCTCCTTAGTAAACTGTTGCTGCTGCTCATTTCCAGTTCATTCATCGACCGCTTTCAAAATGATATGTGACCTTCCGTTCATTGTAGTTTTTTTCCTGCCCGTCCAACAAAAATCTTATTTTTCTCGCTGAAAAGCGCGGCAATTACGTCCCCTGCTTCATGCATAGTACCATTTTGCAGAAATTTGTTCCGCAAGCAACTACGATCGTGTATGTGCAGACCTTTTTCGGCACGAAAAAAGCTGGTTGGAAAGCTAAGTATTCGCGACAACAGTGAGTTTCTCTAAACTGGGCTGCACAATAGCTGCCCTTCTTTACTTCTGCTGCTCAGTATCTGCCCTTCTCAGTCCACTGCAGACCTGATAGCGTCACTTCATGAAAATCGCAGTGCTTGTTCATGCTTTGCGTATGAATACGGATTTGGCAAAGTCTGCGTTATGGTTGCCGCTGGAGGAATATGATGCACAGCTTAGTTTGCGCAGCAGAGATTACTATCAGTTTGGTTAACCTTTGGCAAACAAGTGGAAAATGCAGCACATAGCTGTAAGACAACGTCGAGAAAACTTGGAAATGTTATGTAAAAACAAATGTTTCGAGTAATTCGCCCCTCTCCGGAGCAATTTACAACGATAAGTTGACGCTTGGAGGAGGAGAAATAGCTAAACAATCATTTATTCACTTGGTTTAGCCAAGTTACATGAAAGCACAGGGCATTTCACTCGCAGCTTAGAATGCTGCCGAGAGATAAATCTATCCAGCATTTCTCGCAGGATCTACAGAACCACAAAGCACTTTTAAACTGTGCAAAAAGTCGACAAATAACAGAGTTGAGCATAACCAGAACGGTGATGAAGGTAATAGGGCCTTTTCTGAATACCACGTTGAAAATAAGAAATGTTAAAAGAATAGGGTCAATTATTGGGAAAAGTGTGAGTTGCAAAGTATTCCCTGCCAATTTTGCTTTCCAAGAATCGCTGGGCTTTTTTATCTAGATATTTACTGAGCCCTCAAAATCGTCAATTTTTGACTTGATCGTTCCTCCAACAACACACGCCGAGCAGTTCCAACCTGGACACAAAGTCAATCTTCACGGCCAAGTCACACTCGATGATTTTAGTGCAAAAATTTTGAGGGGAAAGCAGAAGAAAGATGTTTCGGTAATAGGAGCGATGCCGACGGGCGAAATCGTATAGAAAATTTCTATCTCAGCAGTATCATGACAAACAATACATTTCGCCGGTTTCTCGTTTCGCACAGGACTTTGGCTGAACTAGACATAAAAACTAAAACTAACGAATTTACACAGAACCGATGGCCAGCGATTTTCAAGTACTCTTTCCGGGGCATACGCTTCCAGCACAATTAAAAGCCACCACACCGCGGACAAGAGTGCGCAAAATTATTCTTGCTGAGCGGAAGGTAGCACCAGTGAAGAAACAGCAAAAAGGTCAAAAAAGGTGTTTTCACATAGTAATGGGCCAAGAACCTGCTGGGTCATGAGGATGGTTATTGGTAGTGACAGTCACTATATTGTCTTTACTGTGTTAATTGTAGTGTAAATATCAAAATTAGAACTGGATTTCAGGGCTCTCAAGGTATGCCGAAAAATAAGGGAAAATGTTATGAATACCGTCTTCTCTGCAAGTCAGTTAGAACGGAGCTCAACGTGAATAGTTGCAGCTGGCGTTGACAAACCATGTAAGACAGAGTTCGAAAAAGAAAAGCAGGAATCTAATGTTTTTTAAATCATTTGTTGTCCCTCATTAAATAAATAAATAAATAAGTAAATATATATATATATATATATATCCAATAAGTCTTCGGTGCTTTGATCAGTGATTCTTTCATCGTTCTGTTTTTTCTTGTTACTGGTGCAGCTGATAGCTTCTTCATATTTCCTATTTTGTCGCTAATTCATTCGTGTAAATCCATGCGTTTGTTTAAACGGATCCTGCCACCAAATTGGTGGCATTTCCTATTTTTATTTAAAATTGAGCAGCTTCCATTCAATAATCCGTTTCTTCCGTCTGCTGTCTCTCATCACCTGGCTAGTCTAATTCCTCTCCTGGTGTACACCACTTTGTTGGCATTGTTCATACTAGACCGAAGGTGTAGTACTTCACTGAATACGTACTGCAATTTACTGACGCTTAAAACGTGTTGTAGCTTCATAGCTCACTGAGTCGTTATTAACCTTTTCTTTCTTTTTAGTTATTTCTTGCACCGTTTTCTTGCAGCAAAATAGGCAGCATAGTGAGAAACCGAAAAGCAATGTTTTTCAGAGTCGACTCAGTGTTATTTATTGGAAACTGCGTCCCGTAACTTTTTTAAAGGTTATACACCCTTGCTCTTTTTTCTTAGCCTCAAACCCAGCTGCACATTCATTTGACATAGTTGTTCATAAGCTCAGTGGACCATAACTTCTTTCCACCAGTTAAGGTCCAGCTAGTGACGCCCAGGCTTGTCGGTGTGATCACGCGTTTTGTCCAAATGGCTTGCTGATTCCCAGTTTTACATATGCATTCATGTGACAATATTTTTGCCTCTTCTTGCATGTAAGGGGAAAGAAGCTGAGATGGCGGTATTGCATCTTGAGGTCGCTCGAAGTCTGAACCTTAAGAATGTAGGATTGCCGTAAATTCCTCATGAAGCTGTTGTCAGCAAAACGCACCCTCAAGTTAGCTGTGTCCGCACGAGAAGCTTAGGCTTTTATGATAGCTGATTTTATGCTTTCAGACCTTTTAATGAGCAGTAAACGTTCTCACTAAATTCCGACTGTTACTTTACTTGCCCTTATCGTGAGATGCAGACGTGTCTTGGAGCTCTGTTTAAATCTCCAAGTCGCACTTTGACATAGAATATCATTCTAAAATTTCGACTTCCTAGCTTGTTTTGTTCGTGAAATTGTCATTTTGCTACAAACCTTTTTGATGTACCCTAAGAGTGAAACAGATGCAATCTAAAACTTAATTAGGTGTTATAAGTCCCCACAACGACTATATCCAGCTATCCTTTTCCCGCTAATTTTCGGATTAGAAACGGCACTAACAAAGAACCTTGGCGTAGGCACAGAAAATAGATGAATTTGAAACCCCTACCTCATAAGTGGTCAGGGTCCCCGAGCGGACGCTGATTTCAGGTAATATGGATGATACTTTAGACGGGAACATGCTCGTAAAGCTTCAACTTCCAGACTTCTCTGATCCTGAAGTTGGAAATGGTTGAAAAAGTTTACTTGCACACACACACACACACGCACACGCACACACTCACTCACACACACAAACCGACAATTTCTTGACAATATGCACTTGCTGTGTTGCATTATAAAGCTATACCGCTCCAGAGCAAAAAATTATGAAAAGGTTTAAAACGCAACTTTATAAATTCAATGCCAAAAAAGCTTCCCCATTCCATCATTTGAACTTCCGTGAGCTGGTTGGTCGATTTAGGCTCGTCCGAGAAATGCCGAAAGAGATCAAAGAAATCAAGGAATTTTTGATGACTGCGCGGCGGAAGGACGCAAGAGCTGTGATTATTAAGAAGAATCCGGATAATGTAAAATTTAAGGTTCGCTGCAGTAAATACCTCTACACACTGGTTATTCAGGATACGGAGAAGGCTGAAAAGCTGAAGCAGTCTTTGCCGCCCGGCCTTCAAGTTAAAGAGATGAAGTGATTCGCCACAGATAATGCTCTTTTGATCGCTGTTCAATCAAATGTAACTCGAATAAAGTTTTTAATAAATTTATTTATCATTTTTGGAACAGAACGATCGCTTGTCACCTAAACTTCCCACTATTTATTTTGAGATGATTTTAAACTTGGTCGGGAAGATGGTTTTAAATTATTAGGAAGAGGCTTAGTAAATTACCCGGTCCACTCTCCAGTCGATGACAGAAGTACGCAGACTTTTCAAATGGCATAATTTTCAGATCATTTTTGACATCCTCAGAGTATCAAAACCTGAAAATTCGCGCCATCTTCTTCAGTATTATCGTGTTGAATGCAGTGACGCAATCAGGTTGACAAAACTGAGAAGGCAGCGCTTGTAATGAAGCTAAGGTTGAAGCGAAAGATTTTTGGAAAAATTTTTATTCGAGAAATCTTTTCATGATCGTTGAAAGGTCTAGCGCTCAATGCAACGTCATGAATGCAAAGATCCCTACCGATTTTCGAGGCATTCTTTGAAATAGCAATACACTCTCAGTTTGGTACCATTTTGCAGTTCACAGCGGTATGTAGAAACAACCTGCAGATTTTACGTAGTTGCGATTTAATTCGTCTATGCTGGTTAGGGGTGTTCTGAAAAGTTCTGCGAGCGACTTTTGTCTGAGGAAGCTCTGTTTTGATTTTCACGGATATGCTAAAATTTCTGAAATTAGAACATTGGTGATGAAGACTTTTCATGAGCACATTCGCATTATGAATTTTTGGCCAGCATTTTTGCTGACAAAATGGTCACAGGAGACGGTGATTTTGTAGACCACTAGAAAAAGCAAAAAATTTTTGATACTTTAGAGGAGGTGTATGCAAACGACTATGCGTGAGGATGCACACAGATTCTTGCGGGAGCGCATTTATATAAATAATCCTGAAAAAGTCAGTTTCCAAAATAGCTTCGCCAGCAGGCCAACGGTTTAAAATGGTAATTGATTACAATCCAGAATGATGAAATGAAGAGGTAATAAGACATACATGAAACAGAAGATTAATAACGTGCAAGTCTCTTTTGACAGTTTCGCAATGTCGGGATTATTTTCTCTGTTAAGGCGTTACAACAGTCCAACTTTGAAAATGCTTAACCAAAATTCACGAAATTAAATCAAGCAGAATTCGACAAATATCCAAACATCCCAGAAAGCTGCCACAAACTTCCCTTTGTCTTACGCAAAAGTTTATTTCTTTCTTCGGTACCCTTTCATGCATGGTACTCAAATTAACAAGTTGTTTCTATGCAATCTGGTTAGAGAAAGTGTTTGATCCTCTGACTTAGGGTTAATGAAGTAGAGTGTTTTTGAGAAGATGCTTTTCTATGAACAATTTTGTTTCCGAAACCCTAGCCCTCACTTCTCAGCTTGCAACAAAAAGAGCCATCCGATAAAAGCACGCATTCAATTGGGCAAAAAGGTCGAAAAATCTTATAAAAATGTCGAATCAAGTTTTGTACTGTCAAAATCAGAAAATTTTTCTGTTTTTGCTGATGGTACACGCACACATACGCTCAATCATATACTACAAGCTAGTAGCACTATTCAAACAAGCACACCTGTGCACTCACGTTTACGTCTGTCGCATATGCCAGCATCCTGACTAAACTTTTACCAGTAGCTGTCTTGCACATATTAATTTCAGGACCTTTTTAGAAAACATTTAATTAAGAAGCAAATTGTGGCCGTGCCATCTTACAGTTAAGTAGAGAGTGTGCTTAAAACCAATTGGTAGACTGTTCCATATTTAGTTGATAAACTGCTACTGTTTCAAGCAACCGCCAGTTGCTGACTGACAGAGCGCAAGAACCGAGCATGAGTTAGAATTTCAGGGATGAGGAAGCTGACCCGAGTAAACAGTTACATAAGGCAATGGCAAAACAAATTTTACTACTACCTTCCTCCCGTTACATCAGCATTGTCCAATGCCGCTTTTACAACAGCTCTCTTCGACAGAATTTTAATTTCCTCTGCAGTTTTCAATTTTGACCAAATTCCAGTGTAACAGTTTTCGTACGATATCCCTAGGAAGGTTAATTTACATTTTAAATGCTAAGCGCAATTCATTGTCGAAGATCTGTTTCGCTAAGCTTTTCTGTGACAGGCTCTTCGCTTATCCACGAAGTATGTTTTGATGAAGGAAATCAATGAATACGTGAGGAAAACGTTTGATTGGCTAAGTAAGACTGAGATTCACATGGAACGGAATAAGGTAAAGGAGGAGGGAATAGGATGCAGGTAAAAAGAACTGCCTGCGCATGAGGTGGATGACAAGACGAAAAACCGAATGTCCTGATCAACTCGGTGACTGCTCGAATCACCTTATCTGATGCCAAGACCATCGCATGCGGGATTTGATGGAGCTGTCAACCAAAAGATTCCAATCGGGTCACTGAACATCCTTGCGCTTGACACCCATTCCCATCCGCTAATTTTAACTGTCTCGTACTTCGTGCTGCTGTCACAGCCAAAAGTTGAAGAGTGGGTGCGTGAGGGTGCTGCGGGGGAATGAAAACAATATTTTCTCTTCAAGGAGCACGCGATAAATAATTGTTTTTTTTTCGTCAGAGATTAATAGCATTTCAACATTTTTATGCGTTTTTGCATATATGTAAATTGCTAAAACTCATATTGGGAAGAGGTTGTCTGTGTGTGTGTGTGTGCGTGTGTGTGTGTGTGTGTGCGTGTGTGTGTGCGTGTGTGTGTGTGTGTCTGTGTGTTCGCACTTTT